ACACGAAAATCATCAAAATTAGGGATTTACATGCTCTGGGGCTTGTTTGACATTTAAAATGGGTCGATTTGACCGTCAGGGCCAACTGACGACTTAAAAAACAATAAAAAAAAATTAGGCAAAAAGACGTCGAAATTTCGAATGACCAAAAATTTATGGAGTATAGTACACAAAAATCGATAAAATGAAGTTTACCTACTTTGATGCTTGTTATCCATGAAAATTGATCGTTTTGATTGTCGGGGTCAACTCACTCCATAGCTAACATCTTAATGGCTTATACAAAAAGTTTGAGCAAAAAATACGTTAAAATTCTCGATCCTTGATAATCCATTGACTATAGTACACAGAAATCGTCAAAATGGGGTTTACTTGCTTTGAAGCTTGTTTGACCTTGTAAATGGGTTGTTTTGGTCGACTAGGTCAACTGGATCTATAAATAAAGTATTAAATGGACGTCCATGAAAATTTTGAGCAAAAAAGACTTCAGAATTCTGGATCACCAAAAGATAATGGACTATAACAAACCAAAATCGGCAAATAGGGGGACTAACTGCTTCGGGGCTTTTTTGAACTTCAAAATGGGTCATTTTGGCCGTCAAGGTTAACTGGATCCATAGATAATGTCCACAAAAAATTTGGGCAAAAAGACGTCGTATTTTTGGATACCAAAAAAGATCGTGGACTATAACACGCGTAAATCTTTAAATGAGGCGTTAAAATTCCCTAGGGCTAATTTGACCTTCTAAATGATCCATTTTGGCCATCAAAGCTAACTAGTTCCATAAATATTGTCTTAATGGATGTCCATAAAAAATTTGGGCAAACAAGACGTCGAAATTCTGGATGACCAAAAATTCATGGACTATATAGTACACGAAAATCACCGAAATGTGATTTACCTTCTTCAGTGCTCTTTTGACCTTGAAAATGGATCGGTTTGGTCGTCAAGGCCAACTGTCACCAAAACTAACGTCTTAATAGAAGTCCATGAAAAATTTGAATAAAAAGATGTCGAAATTCTGTATCACTAAAAAACTATGAACTATGGCACACGAAAATCGATAAAACGGGAGTTTACGTGCTCTGGGCTGGTTTGACCTTTAAAATAAGATGTTTTGGCCTTTAGAACCAATTGACTCCATAGCTAACGTCTTAACGGATATCCACAAAACAATTGGCTGATAAAAATTTCGGAATTCTAGATCACCATAAAAAATCATAGACTATGGGTTTACCTACTTCGGGGCTCGTTTGACCTTTAAAATGGACCGTTTTGACCGTCAAGGCCAATTGGTTCCAAAAATAACATCTTAATGGATATTCACAAAAAAAATTGGCAAAAAGAACATCGAAATTATGAATCACCAAAAATCCATAGACAATATAGCACTCGAAAATCAGCAAAATAGGAGATTTGCCTGTTATGGGTTCTTTTGACCTTCAAAATGGTCATTTTGACCATCATGGCTAGGTGACTCCACAAATAACGTATTAACAGACATCCTAGGCAAAAACTACGTCAAATTTTTGAATGACCGAAAATTCATGGACTATTGTACACGAAAATCGACAAAATGAGATTTACCTGCTTCAGATCTTGTTTGACCTTGAAATGACAGTTTTAGTTGTCAGTGTCAATTGATTCCATAGCTAACACTTTAACGGAATTCCATGAGAAATTTGAGCAAAAAAGAATTTGGAATTCTGGATTACCAAAAATTCATGGAATATAACTCACGAAAATTGACAAAATTGGGGTTTACCTGCTCTGGGGCATGTTTGACCTACAAAATGGGTTGTTTTGGCCGTCAAGTTCAATTGACTCCATAACTAACTTCTTAACGGACGTCCACAAAAATTTTAGGCAAAAACTACGTCAGAATTTCGGATGACCAATAATTCATGGTACACGAAAATTGGCAAAATGGGGTTTACCCGCTTCAGAGCTTGTTTGACCTTGAAAATGACAGTTTTGATCGACAGGGCCAATTGGCTTCGTAGCTAACTTCTTAACGAACGTCCACAAAAAATTTGAGCAAAAAAGACGTTGAAATTCTGGACTATGAAAAATCCATGGACTATAACTAACGAAAATTGATAAAATTGGGGTTTACCTGCTCTGGGCACGTTTGACCTTCAAAATGAGTCGTTTTGGCCGTCAAGTTCAACTGACTCCATAGCTACCGTCTTAACGAACGTTCACAAAAATTTAAGGCAAAAACTACGTCAGAATTTCGAATGACCAATAATTCATAGACTATTGTACAGGAAAATCGACAAAATGAGGCTTACTCGCTTCAGAACTTGTTTGACCTTGAACAGGACAATTTTGGTCATCAGGGCCAATTGACTCCATAGCTAACGTTTTAACGGACATCCACAAAAAAATTGAGCAAATAAGACATCGAAATTCTAGATTACCAAAAACCCATGGACTATTGCTCACAGAAATCGACAAAATTGGGTTTGTCTGCTCTGGGCACGTTTGACCTTCAAAATGGGTCGTTTTGACCGTGAAGGTCAACTTGCTCCATAATTAACGTCTTAACGGATGTATACCAAAAAATTGGGCAAAAAGACGTCGAAATTTTTTATCACAAAAAATCCATAGACAATATAGCTCATGAAAATCAGCAAAATGTGAGATTTACCTTTTCTGAGGTTCGTTTGACCATCAAAATGGACCATTTTGGTCGTCATGGTTAAATGACTCCATAGCTAACGTCTTAACGGTGATCCACAAAAAAATTTGACAAAAACTACGTTAAAATTTTGGATAACCAAAAATTAATGGACGATTATACACGAAAATCGGAAAAAATGGGGTTTATCTTCTTTGGGCTTGTTTGACCTTAAAAATGACAGTTTTGGTCGTCATGGCCAATTGACTACATAGTTAACGTCTTAATGGATGTCCACAAAAATTTGAGCCAAAAAATGTCAAAATTTTAAATTACCAAAAATTCATGAACTATAGCTCACGAAAATCAACAAAATTGAAATTTACTTGCTTTGGGCACGTTTGACCTTAAAAATGGATCGTTTTACCGTGAAGGTCAACTGGCTCCATAACTAAAGTACAAACAATTCATGACAAATTTGAATAAAAAGACGTCAAAATTTTAGAACACGAAAAATCCAAATTGATTTACCTTTAAAATAGGATGTTTTGCCCTTTAGAACCAACTGGCTCCATAGCTAACATCTTAACGGATATTTACAAAACAATTGGTCGATAAAAATGTCAGATTTCTGCATCACCAAAAATCATCAAAATGAGGAGTTTATCGCTTTGGAACTCGTTTGACCTTTAAAATGAGTCGTTTTGATCGCCAATTGAATCCATAGCTAAAGTCTTAACGAACGTCCATAAAAAATTTGAGCAAATACGTTGAAATTCTAGATTATCCAAATTACCTCAACAAAATCGACAAAATTGAGATTTGTCTACACTTCAACACATTCGACCTTCAAAATGAGTCACTTTGGCTGCTTAGCTCAATAGATTACATAGCTAACAACTTAAAAACATACACAAAAATTTTGAACAAAAAATATATTTAAGTTCAGAAGCTACAAAAAATATCGTGAACTATATATACAACTTGAACACAAACAAATGCGTTTTCCAAATGCATTTTGTTGAGCATTACTTTTAGAGTGAAAAACTTCAATTTCTTAAATCCAACTTTACAATTTGCAATCATCAACTATCAGGCCTTCCATCTGTATTCTTCTATTGCTACATCTCCAATTCCATATTACCATTAGCTGCGTCTTCTTTAGTGAATAACAACGAAAACAACACAACAAGATGACGATTAAAGACGGTACTTTTCCAACAATCTTCTAAAGATACTAATCAAAACAATATTTTCAATATTCAACAAGAGGATCAGTTATAATGAATCATTCACCAGCTTAACATCCAAATATGGAATGCAAATCAGATGACAATAAATAAACATCATTTCCTCTTGGTTCCTCATGTGTTGACCAAATATATCCACAGATCACTGATCAGTCTAAGTTCCCACTCCTACACTATATATTACAAGTCATAAAACAGTTATGGGCATCAGTTCTCCAAGGTTGATAGCATCAATGAAAGATTCAGACGCAAATTACCCATTTACGATATATAAGATTTCATCATTAGCCCATAAAACTAACAATCAAAACTTGAATAAACACAAAAGGAAGAGGATTAATCATTTAACGATCAGAACCTGTCGGGATTCACACTTTACATCATGAAATGTATTTCAGTGGATTGACAGACTTATGAATTCTATCATCACGTCGTATTCGAATGGAACGTAAAAAAATTTAACAGGGCTCAGAACTTCTTAGAGGGTAGTGTAAGCCATCACAGACCAAAGTCTCCGACACAAGATATTTTTCATCATAGCACCAAAAAATAACCATTAAAACAAATAAAGCTTCGCAATAGGACTCAGTTTATGGGTGGTGATATATCAGAATGGTCGGCAAGGTGGTTTTAAACACCATTACGACGAACGAGACCAATAGATATAAGTCGTCACAGTCCATTAACCATTTCAATTTTTCAAAAAAACAAATCATATGCATTTAACACAAAAGAAAACAAAGAGTCATCAGATAGGAGCGAAAGACTATAAAGATTGTTTTATAATCACAAAAAAATATCATTTGAACTATGCTTTTAATCATCATCTGACCCATATATATATATATAACAAAGCAAAAACAGATTTTGAAAAGCATAAAATATAATTGGCCTCATAGAGAAGATTAGGTATTCAACATAATGAAAATTCAGTCATATGCTTGTCTATAAAAGAAATTTAATCATTGGCCACTGATAAGCAAACAAATAATCAAAAAGATCAAAACTTTATCATAGATATAACAATACCAGTATAATTGGGGATATAGCAATTTGTTCGAGGCCGTAATCAATACGAGAAAAAAGATTGAAAGGCACGGAGAATCGCTATACATATAGCCAACCTTCAATGCAAATATCTGTCATTTTTGAAGGACACCATTGCTCTGCAAATTGGCTTGTATCACAAATTTAACAGTATAGGGATAAGATATAGCAATTTGTTCGAGGCCATAATCAATACAAGAAAAAAGCTTGAAAGGCACGGAGAATTGCTATGTATATAGCCAACCTTCAATGCAAATGAGTGTCATTTTTGAGAGACACCTTTGCTCTGCTAATTGGCATACAAAGTAAAAAAAAGTTTTAAAGGGCATCAGTTCTCCAAGGTGATAACATCAAAGAATGATTCAGACGCAAATTACCCATTTACGATATAAAAATTTCATCATTTGCCCATAAGATAAAGAAATTAACAAAGCAAAAATCAGAATTAACGGAGGATTAATTAACTAATAAACGATCAGAACCTGTCGAGATTCACTTTGAACATCATAAAAATGTAATTCAGTGAATTAACATATGAATTCTATCTTCACTTCATTCAATTACTATTACTCACTACTCACTTAAAATACTGATATTGAAAACAAAAAAAAGAAGTGCTCAGAACTTCTTAGAGGGTTGTGTAAGCCATCAACGACGATAAGTCTCCGACACAAGGAATTTTTCATCACAGCACAAAAAAATGGTGAATTGAATTGAAAAATTAACAAAACAGTATGATAATGGGACTCAGTTTATGGGTGGTGATATATCAGAATGGTCGGCAAGGTGATTTAAACACCATTACGACGAACGAGACCAAATAGATAAATCGTCATTGTCCATTAACCATTTCAATTTTTCAATATACACAACAATCAATGGCTTAAAAATTAGATTTTAATACTAATATGAAGAGTCATCAGATAGGAGCGAAAGACTAAAAAGAATTTTTGTAATCATATAAATCTCATTTGAACTATGCTTCTAATCATCATATGACCCTGTTTTTTTTTTAATTATTGAGCACAAAAAGTTGAAATCTGGATAGAAAAACAAAAAAAAAAGTATGTAATTGGCCTCATAGAGAAGATTAGGTATTCAACATGATGAAAATTCAGACATATGCTTGTCTATATTTAAGAAATTTAATCATAGGCCAAAAATAAACAAAATCAAAACAGAGAAATTGAACTGTAAAATCGAAAGGGCGAAGCTTACTCTTATGGAGGAAAGTGAAAGCTGTAAAACCCTAGATCAGAAGAGTGAGTGTTTGAGCTTAATGGAGACGAAGGTGGTTTATATAGAGAAAAATGGCGGAAGCTAGGGTTTAGTGATGGGCCGCTGAGAAATCTCTAAAGTGATGGGCTTTTGTGGGCTAATATATCAATTTGTTTTGGGTACTTATTGGGCTAAAATTCAAAAGGCTTAATAGGTCGTGCGCTCGATACTCCGAATGTTTTCTAGTAAATTTTTTATTTATTTTCTTATGTTTGGTATGTATATATCAAATAAATACTATGTAAGGTGGGATGAGTGTCAGAGTGTTTTGGACTGAAGAAGAAAAGAAGAAATATGTATTGGTTAGACTTTTGGAGTCACTGGAAAAGCTTGGCTAGTTGCCGAAGGAGTCCAGTCAAAAATCCTAGATTTACCTTTTAACTTTTAAAAATACAAAAGGCGACACTTTTCTAACATTTCTTGCCTTTGCCTTTTGTCGTTATGGTGTCACCTTGCCACAAAGCTAAAAGTCGATGAAGGGTCGTCTCGCCTGTTGCCATTGGCGATGAGACGATCGCCTTTCACAACTCGGTGAAGATAAAGTATGTAATTGGTGAATGAGGAAGATACAATCCACGTAAAATTCACTTGTGAAATATATTTCCCTTTGTTTCACTAAAAAAGAAAAACATTTTTCTAAAGAATATATTTTTCAAATTTTTTTATCAAACATCGAATAATTGAATATCCTCTCTAGAAGGTAATTTTTATGTGTTCGATTTCCCCTCTTTTGCAATTAGTTTCACTGCTGTACCCGCTGCTCTAGCTAATTGTCCACCCTTTCTAAGTGTGATTTCTATGTCACACTAAAAGGGGAGATAATATTTTACACAAAAAAGGTTAATTAACATTTTCTAATATAAATCTCAATAATTAGATTTAACCCTAACCTTCGAAAAATTAGTAATCTCACTTTATTTTCTTTCACAATCAAGCTCAACTAAACCTAAGAATAATGTTTTTCAAGCTTATTCAACCAAACAAATCCAAACCAACCACATCAAGCAACGAGTCTTGAATTTTCTACAACTCAATATTTATATTTACATATTTTTAATGGGGTATTAATAACTGTGTTATCTTATTATAGAAATATTTAGCTGTACAAATATTTTGTTGTAGCACAATTCTGCCTTTCCATATACAGCATTTTACTGAGCCAGAAACAATGAGTATTATAACACATTAAATAGGAGTTAAGCAAGAGAAGAGAAACCTATTAACTTAAAATTATCAACCAACTATATTTTTTCAAACCATTGCTACTTTACCTACATTTTACACTGCAGCACAGTTGTGACCTGAATCTAACACCTCAAGTATCAAGAAAATGAAAGAAAAAAAAGACGCTTTCGTGAACAAAAAGGAAGAGGGGGGGGGGGTTGATGACTGATGAGCATTTTATTGGATGTGGTTTCTGTTAGGTCATCTTCTATCGACTTGAATACTTCCTGGATCCAGCGTTGACAGTATCTGAGGCATCGACATGCCACCAGATACAACAATCTCTGCAAAAGAGGAGAAAAGAGCATGTCGGAAAGTGCTTCAACCATGATTGTACTATCGCTTATAGAACAACCCAATGCATAGATTTTCAAGAGAATTTGATGATGAAAAGATCTCTTACCTATTCCTTCACGGACAGACAAGTTTGGTCTAATAACATCTCTTGCATTAACGAGGAATATATCACCAATGTAAAGATGATTTGTAGGAACATACACACAACATAGCTCTTCGTCTCCGGAATAGTTCTGGATTGGATGTTAAGACAAAGTAGCACACAAGTAAATTTCAAAATAAACCGGACAAAAGATGCTATTGTACATAAATTTTTTCCAACAGCAGGGATATATGAACGTAACACTACCCATAAGGGAATCTTAGAAGTCCAGTTGATTGGATAATTGAACTTTCACCTTGTCGGTGAGGGTTCGATTCTCCCCCATTTCCCCTTTCAAAATTTAAAAATCAAATTTACCCCTTCACTTTGCAAAAAGGATCATAATTGTGCTTTCCTTATACTTACGGTGCAAAAATACTCCCTACCGTTACCAAAGTAGCTCAAACAATACTCCTCATCTATTAAAATAATCCAAAGCGGATATTCAATACCACATAATTCTGTAACCCCTTTACATTCTTTTTCTTCCACCCCCTTCACCATCACTGCCACCAATATGATCACCACCGTATTCACCTTAGAAATTTTTAACACTTCAATTTAAAGAAAGAAACGGGAAGAACATTTACTCATATGAAAGACCCATCCCAACTCTCGTCCACTTACTCACGAAGCATGCTTAAAGCCGGATATATTCAGATTTTATTTTATTCTAAGGTCATATATACAACAGCTACAAATAATGTAAGGGAATATGCTGGTATATATGAATTATAATTTAATTAGGGTAATGAATGCTGCATTTCATTATATAGAAAACAAAAATTTTGAAGGAATAAACAGTTTGACGAGGTTATTATTCATCAATCATCACCATATCAATCTTGGAGAACGGGCTTGAGTTGAGTAATATCACCACTGAATCATTTTGGTAGTATTTATTTTGCAGCATGAAGGCCTTCAGCGAAATGTTGTTCGCCTTTTTTAACCTGCACAATCACTTGATGACCCGGTCGAGAATGGGAACAGAGAGTAGCTCACTCCCGTAAGTGTATTTGAAGTTGGATAAAATTGTAATAATGTATAAATTACTTTAGCCTCACGAAATATTTCGCATATGTTATTGTACAAGTCTTACATGGAGCTTGTTTTGTAGAAAATATATTATTAGGGTTTATGCATAGTTGCAATTATATCCAACTTCAAATACACTTGCAAAGGGTAGAAAAGACTAACAACATTTCGCTGAAGGTCTTCATGCTTTTAATATAACATACAATAGTGAGAGTAATAAGGGTTAGTGTAACTACATTTCAAATCATTGATTTCTCAAGATACCTATATTTTTCACTTTCTTGTAGTTCCTTCTTTGTTTTCAATTTATGTATTATTGTTGAAAGTCTTATTTCAGGATATAGCTGTAATATGAATAAACTGTTCACTCAAGTTTTCCAGCTACTTGATAATCCACATGATCCAAAAATTAATATGTATAAATCAATTGTGGGGGAAGGGATAAAAAGGGTAGGACCGGTGAGGTGGCATGCCACGTGGTGTCCATTTCACCAAAATGTTAAGTGTCATGTGGAATTGAATGTCCAGCTTGGACATTTCTAAGGGAGAAGGGGCATATTGAGCTACTTGGATAACGGTAGGGGCATTTTTGCACTGAAAATGTAACGGAGGGAAAGTATGATCCTTTTCGCATAGTAATGGAGCAAATCTGACCATTTTCTCAAAAACAATTGATACACGTGTCACATGCCCACCATGTAATAAAAAAATTTCAAAATGGTCTAGGAAAAGCTGAGAGTTGAATACTTATTATTGAAGAACACAAAAAACGCATGTAAATTGGCATACCTGCAGGACGACAGATGAGGTAATGAACCCAAAGGCATATTCACCAATTCGAGGATGCCTTATTATGGCAACCTCCTTGAAAGCTTGTGTGTTCTGATCTGCAATAGGAGGTTATGTATCAATTATCACTCTCCAACTAAAAGCTATTTCGTGAAAATATGTATGAAACTGAAAATCCATAAGGCATACCTGGAGATATGGCAGAACTAATTTGCTTTGAAGCATTATATATATGCCGAACAAATGGCATTCTTTTGATGAACCATTCCCCAAGACCCAAAACGGAAGTCCCCAACCATGATGACATGAACACCCCGACCAAAAAAATGAAAGTGATTGAAGTCATAAATCCAAGACCTGATCAGAACAACCATAGAAAGCGAGGTCATCTCCAAAGAAGGGTATCACCAACATGAACTGCTAATATATCACAAGAAAAAAGACTTAACCTAATATGACTGACATTTAAATAAAACGATATGCTAATTCATCTGGAATGCTTTCTTCTTTAACATGACAGTGAATTTTATGTCAAAAGAGAGATAAAGGCCATTACTTAAAGAGACCATGAAATGAGTCAGAGCCATTAGTAACATAGGAATAAAGTTGGTTGTTTTTCATGGAGAAGGGGCAAATGCTTACCAAAAACGTCAATTCCAAGTTGAGCATAGATTGGAGAGAAAAAGCCATCCACAAAATGAATAAACCACCATGTTATGTAGAAGGTGACTGCTATAGGAAATAGGATGACACTGCAAAAGGATGTGAGTGAGTAACAACTAGAAAAGTAAGTACCGGGTAAGTGAGAACGTGCTTCTTAATAACAGCTGACACTGAAGACAAAGTCCAATGTTTATAAGCATATCCTTCTACTATTTTCCCATGACACTTGCAAGCAGCAGAGCGGACTGGTTTAGACGTTTAGTTGCTCCCTATTCAAGTTTATTTTGACAACTTTCATCTCATGGACTCTTACTCAGTATAAGCTCAACAGCCTAATCCATGAAAGAAGAACACTATTTTTGTGATAGGTGTGTTACCTAAAGGACTTTTACTATCTTCCTGTAATCATATTTGCCAACAAAAGCGGTTATGATGAGTTAAATGGGGTAGTATGGTCAATGAGGATTCATATAATCAACCTCAACTTCTTTGAAACTGAGGCATGGTAGTAGTTGTTGTTTATTACATGGTAGGAACAGTGGCTACAAGCCTTATCTCTAGTTTGTTTTAACAGCTGATCAAAGTCCTAACAACAACTCTGATGCTTTTTGCTGTTCCAAGATTAATTGTCTAAGTTCCGTTAGCTGAAAAGTGCTTCTATTTTAGTCTTCTGAAACAGAAGCTAAAAGTGGGTATTGAAGTCATCAAGGGATCTTGGAAGGTGCAAACACTTAACCTTGTAACAGAAGCTAGAAAGTGGGTAGTAGAAGCTTGGAACGGTTCCTCTGTAGGGCTAGGGCATGACCCCTTGCTAAACTAGTTCTTGAAAATCATTCTTGTGGCGCTTTGCTGTTTCTTTCTAAACTTTAATTTTCTAAATGCAGGGAACCAAAAAAAGAGATACAACCTATGTCTAGATCAAAGGGAAGATTGAAGAGAACCATTTTTACCATCCAGTCATGAATTTCTTAGAAGCCCAGCTCCTAACAACTTTAGAGAAAGTCTGCAGTTGCAAAAAAGAAAAAAAAACATACAGCTTTTGTCAGATAATGAAAAGAGAATTCAAGTTTAAAACATGAAATTAGAAGTCAAGGAACAGTACAATGATAGTCACTGTGACCAGTCCACTAATTAATCTTAAGATATGAATAGGAAGTAAACAAAGTTAAGCTATTACACCAGGTCCAGTCACTACAAAATTAAGCTTAAGATAACAATAGCAAGTAAACTAAGTTAAAAACTATGACAACAGACTTTGGCACAATTATCAAATTTAGACTAGTGATGCAAAAGAAGGAAAGAGAGGCAGCGCAAAGAGTGGAAGAAATAAGATGAGAAGTCGAGAAGAAGAGAGAGATAGTAAATGTCAAAAAGCAAAGATGAATAAAAGAGACAAATAAGCCAACTAAATCCCAACATCACATAAAACATTACTATGGAAGCTAAATGTGGTACGATTTTTACAATTATGTGCAGTGCAGCACTGCAGGTAATTTTTTAATAGTTAATCAACTTATCAAGTATGGTGCATGTGAAAAGTTATATACGGGGTTTGATATTAATTTAACACAATACATTTTCCAGGAAAAATTGATGGGATTCCTTTAAGTTTTTGTTATATTAACTAGTTAAAAATATCTCAACAAAATTGTTTTACCGTAATTGATGCAGGCAATCTATATCTTTTAAGGGTGCGGTATATCTTTTAATATAACTCAAGGTACAGTAGTATATTTCTTGCTATAGTTTTCTATATTTTACTCAATACTGATTACTTTCTCCATCATTATGTAATCATTATTTTCACTGTTGTTCCTCACTGCTGATACAGATCACCAAACATCACTCCCATGCTCCACCTAGCTGTTACTATTAGATGCTACTTACTGTGATACTCATCCAAATATTATGACACAACAAATTAAGCCTAAATTGATCACTCTAACACCCATTCCAATGCGATCTAGCAGAGGGACAGACAGGAATATCATCAGATGTAGAAATGAAGCATGCCATAGATGTTACACCATGCAATGAAGACCAAAACACAAATGCCGCATCCACCAGATCTCAAACACATGAAACTGAGTGTAGGACATCGAATAATATATTGTATACATTATTTTTTACTTTTGATCAACAAAGTATATTGTAGATTTGTACACAAAACCTAGTCTGATACAACAACATACCAGTGTAGTCTCACAAGGTGGGTATAGGGAAGGTGGGGTTTACGTGGACCTTACCCCTACCTTTTGGGGTAGAGAGGTCGTTTCCAGGTAGACGTGGACCTTATCCAACATAAAATCACATACATAAACGTACACACATCAATTGATACACCCCCTATGTAACAGGGTCATGTCATCAAGTAAAGCACACATTGGTAGTCAAAAAAGCATTGAACATAATTGAAAAGGTCTCTAACACCCAACAGAAAATAATATGCAAAGATTTTAGAGACTATCAGCTTCGTATATGTAAGAAGTCAACACATGGCACCAAATCGAAGTGGAGAATACGTACTTTAATAATTTAATATACTACAAATGTATGACCTTTTTCATATTTAATCATAAAGAGGTAGTAAAAGAAAGACTGAAGGTTGTAGCCCACCTGAGTTTTTTCTTACCATAAAAACTCAAACTTCTGAACTTAGTATTTAGTTTCCTCTCATTCCACAAAATAAATTATATGTGGCAGGAAATAGTAAATAATCACACTGAAAAATTAACATCAAACAAGGATTCAAACAAAAATTTCCGCAGTCTCTATGATCAAATTTCTGTAGATTCTGTAGCAGTAACACATTTCAACTAACCTCTTCTAAGATCATAAGTAATAAACTTGCCCCAGACCAGGACCCAAGGGTGTTGACTAGTGATCAATGACGGGAATTGAGAACCATCACTTTTCAGGTTCAAAATTCAGCAGAGACAAAAAAAACATTATATGATTTCCCCTTATTTGTCCTAGACTCAGAGGACAGAGTGAAGCTAGCCCGGACACGGATCATCAAAAAATAAAAAAAAGTACACCAGACCCTAGTTGTGTGATTATGCTGAGTATCTTGTTGTTGTTGCTTAAATAAAGTACAAAATCAACAAAATTGCTTCATTTTCCAGCATTCCCCCTTTCCATAACTTTGCTCTCTTAATAAGTAAACAACCAACATGACAATAAACTATGCTCATAGCAAATATCTAGAGTATTTCTTTCCTTCTATAAATACTTCAACATAATCCATTCTTAAACAGCAACTCTTAACTCCTAAAATTCACACAATGAAAACAACAAAAATCACTTCTACACATAACAAATCCAGCAGAAACAGCTAACCTAAACAAATCAGATCACCAAATCCCTCTAAAACCTTAACATAATTCCCCCAAATAACAAATGAACAAACATATTTACTAAATGCATCGAACTTTTCCCCTAGAATTCAAAAAAAATACGAAATTAACCTCGCGTCCGGAGTGATGGTGAGAAGAGGAGGATGATGATGAAGAAGAAGGCTTGTCGCCGGCTCCATCGTCGCCGGCGCCGGTGTTAGCCACCGGAATTAGAAGTTCACGATCTCTGTTAGAATTTGCCATTATCCTCTAATTTCTCATCTCCAAATTTACTTATAAATTCTTTTTTCTTTTTTTCTGTGAATTTTTTTACAGATTTTTAGAACTGTAACAGTTCTTCAAATCTATAATAATTTTATTTTATATATATACTAATTTATAATAATTATTATTATTATATATTGCTTGGTGATAGAGGAAATGTTGGGTAGTGGGTACAAAAAAAGGTATTTGTGAAAAAAGTTATTAATTTATTAGTAATTATTTTATTAATTACATAAATTAATGGATTATTTATTAGTAAATAATGTTGATGATATATTTTGTTTGACTTGGGCTGGGCCAAGTTGTATTTTTGTCATGTTGAAGAGTGATGAGCTGGCTCCAATCATATTACGCCAACTCATCGGATCGTGTAATCGTATCTGGATTTTACGGGTGACTCGAAAATTATATTTACGTTGAATCATACTTGAAACACTTATCTATCCTCATGATAAAGAGACTGAATTCAAATCTTTGAATAATAAACATTTCAAGATTAAACGTTAATTAGTATATTAGACTATTCAGAAATAATGATCAAAATATATCAAATTATTATTCAAGAGTTTTCGTCTCAATTATAAACTATTTTCTTTTTTTTACGTGAACTATCATAATTTATATATTAAATACACATAATTGAGTAGATAGTAATGGTCCATATTAGATATAGGGATAACTAATAGTTGGCATAGTCAACTTAAAAATGAAATAACTTATAATTAGGATATTCAAAAGTCACGAAAAAAATAATGATTTTTAAATTTATTTTTATCACTAATTCAATTATCGATGTACGAGAGAGCCCTAATAGCTTTACAAATAATGTTGTATTATTATGTCTTCTAAAACATAGTTATAATAACTCACCAATAACTACGAAAATAAGATAATAATCTATCATAAACATATTTATAATGCATATATAGTGGGGATTTTATATTCGTAAGATTAATTCTCTTAAAATATATATTTTTAATATAGATATTTAGTATATATTCAAATTTCATTAATTGAACTAATTGAATTTTGCACAATAACATTTATTAAAAACTCAAATTCGAGATTTGCTGATCAATTTCAAATATCGATTACAAATAAATCAAGTGTCCAAGTTTTAATAGTCAAAGTTAGTAAGTATTTTCTTTATATATAAAACTATGATAACATTTTTTTATTCGAGTTACAAGAATGATTAAGGCATAAAATAATTATTTGATTAATTAACTTCAAAATATATTTTTGATTAATAAAAATAAAAAAATTGTTTGATTCTTGTCATCAATTCAATTGAACAGAACCTATTATATAATTATTGCCCAATAATATAATTTCAATCAATTGTCATTTGCCACTAAATATGATAATAATTTTTCTTTATACGGCGTTTGGTCCAAATAAAATTACACGTCACTCTCAAATAAGTTAAGTTATCGATAATAATTGAATCACGACTTTCACTAATGATAAAATTATAAAAAAAAAATACACGATGAAGGCTATTTGTATTCAACGTTTCCTACATATGTATAAAAATACGTTTGTTGTTGTATAAATAATATAATTTTCCAATGAATCCGTTCGTGTCATCCTAGATTCGCCCCTGCATGTTCTATTCCAATATTATAAAAAATAAAATAATAAAATAAGAATAACATAAAAAATAAAAATAAAAATGGACTTCATTATATTTCTCTGTCAACAATAAATGTACAACAATATTATTATAGCCATTCAGCTTTGTGTTATTCTGTAATTCTAAAAATACAGTTTCTTCAATACTCTGTAAGTATAAGAGTATTTATATCTACACATTATGTATGTCAACATGAATATATTCAGAGGCAAAGTTACAATATACGTTGCGGATTCAGTAGAACTCAATAGCTTCGGCTCAAATCCACTAAATATGATCAAATGGATTGTGGCTTCTGTGACAAGTGAAGAGTCATCGTACCTATAAACTTCAAATCCTGGATCTGCTTAGCTTTGAAGATTCGAAGTAACTATAGTGTGAGCTCAGTAAGTGCATCGTCGATAATTCCATTCACAACATGCTTCTCAATGTCAGTCACTATTTGTTCAACTTCATCCAGAGTAAATGCATTTCTCCAACCAAGATCCCATGTTGTACTAATCACTCCGTTGCACGATAAATCTCTTTCGTGTAAGGCATAAAGAGTATCTACTGAAAGGATATTGGCATCAACCTTAGTGTGACTTCTCAAGACTTCAATCGCATCACAAATTTCATTCAACAGCTTGTCAAAGGAAATGGAGACTCTTGACATGTTAACGGGACTTTTTGATATTGTCAGGGCGCTCTGAGACCTTTTGTTTTCTAACAATTCGTTTGCACAATCTAGTACGAGTGTGCTGTTAGGCATTTCATTCTCCACACTTACTGTCTTCCAAACTGTTGGTTCCCATGCATCAGTGTCGAAAAGCTCCTCTGCCCGACTGAGGAATGATTCGTTACTCAACAGTATGTGTCGTGTAGTGGCTCTAGATTTGAGAAATTCCTTCTCAGTTGAATCTTGACGGATTTGATACCTAGTGTGCTCCATTAGTGGGATATTATGGTCACACTGGATTAATGTCATGGTAGATTCAGTCGCGGAACATTCACCATTCTTAAGATTATCTGCAATAGAAGTAGTAAATATCATGTGTAAGTATTAGTACCATGCGTAGAGATTAATCTACTTTAATCAATCACTAGAAATATACAGAATGTTTTTTCTTATACTTGTAAGGATACAAGGGTCTATTTGGTTCGAGAGACATCTGGAAATAGCAATTTTCATGTGTAACGACCTTTTACATCATTTATTTATCGCTGTACTCTGAAGGTAGATGTACATAAATTCAGAAAGTGGCTACTGTTGAACATGCTTTACTTAACAGGTACGATAATAACGAGTTTTGTTGTCCATCTTCAAAATGTTTGAAGTTATTAGAGCATAGAAGTTTAAGCTCGGTATAGTTCAGTTGCTACTGCAGGTTGCCTGACCTGGCTTTTCTAAGAGACAGGCTAACTGAATTACATCTCATATAAGTTATCTCGTGTATAGGAACAACAAACAGAATACAGGAAAATCATTTGTCTGAAGACTGATTCCCTGTATCTTATATCTCATATAGAAAGAAAATGATCAAAACAACATAAGTCACTTGTTTGACTAGCATCGACTCTCTTCTAGTCTCTCAAGAGATTATTCAACGTTTCCTCATGGAAACCGCGTCTAGAAAAACAGACTTTAGTCTTTAACAAATATTCATAAACAAGGTCTAGTGAATTTATCTAACATCCAAGCAAGTTTCATGCTTTTGCTAGGAACAGTTATTTACGAGCCTATGTACAATATATATTTGCGAAAAGGTTGCCTAAATACTATGTTGCTCAAACTCTTCAAAAATGTCATAAGGTGCATGTCGGATCCTTCAAAAGCAGTGCATATTTGAAGGATTTGACACGGGCTTGTCAACATTATTAGAGAGTCCGAGCAACATAGGCCTAAAGTGTCCAGATAACGCAAAATTAATATTGATTACTTAGCTTGTACACAATGCCAAACATAATGAAACAAGTGCTTACCAGTGACTACACTCTTGGAGATTTCCGCCACTTCCTCACAAGGCGGCTCTTCTGAGGACGTAAGGTTTGTTACGGTTATATCACTGTCTTGTTCACAGTTGTGCTCCATATTCTCAACCTGCATCAACATATTCCATTATGATTATAATCTTATACGAAGAATAATAATGTTAGTAATAAACATTAGTTTTTAATAGAAAAGTTAGCCAAGACTTCAAAATAGAAGGCATAAATGTGCACTTACAACAGGGACAATAGAGGAACTCTTGACTGACTTGTCAGTTTTGACATTCTTCTTCCTATTTCTGGAGTTTTGAGATACAACGGCTGTGATGCGCTTTGAGTCAGCGCTACGTTGGGATGCAACAAGTTTTTCTGGTACATTCGACTTTTTCTCAGGTTTCGTCACTTTTGCAGTGGTCCTCTTACTTTGATCTTGCACTTTAGTAGTGTTATTGGGACTAACATTTTTCATTTCTCCAGATCTCTTTGCACCAGGAGCTCGTTGAGTTCTCTCAACCCTTTTATCTATCACTTCTTTCTTTGGTTGCTTAGTCCTTCCAGGAGACGATGCTCTATTTTTTGTCAAAGAAAGTGTTTCTTCATTATGGTCCTTGGATCCTTTTTCGGGGATACAGCTACTCTTCTGAATGTTTCGTGTATGCATTTTCCGATGGACAGTGAAATTCACAGGTGCACTCTCTTCCTTTAAGTTCCGTTTACCAAATGAATTTTTAGTGTCCAGGGGATTTTCATCACGGATGGAGGTCGAAAACCTTTCTGCCTGCACTTCAGGAGCGTAAACAGGCCTCATGATCACAATAGGAGGAGCATCAGCAGCAGAACTCTTCAATTGATGAGAGATCACATTATTAGACTTGCATCTCAAAAGGCCTTTGAATTGCATGGTTTCAATTATTCCGTCTAGTGTTCTCCGTTTTGGATCCGCCTTCTGGTTGATGACGGACAGCTTCTTTGCCTTTGGCAAGTCTATTTCGAATATAGGCCTTGTTGGCTTGAAAATCATGTCCTTCTCTAATTGTTTTTGATGCAGAGGTGTTGAAGGAATCTCCTCAAGTCCCATTAGCCTTGCAATCAAATTTGGTACTTTTGGTTTCTCCTTGTCTCGAGAACAATCAAAGGAAGCAAATTGGCTTGAGCTAGTGGACGGCAACTCGGGTGACATAACCAGTTTTCTAGCATCAGCAACACAAGCCTTTTCCATCGATGTCTCACTCAAGCTAGTGAAGCTAGTAGAGGGAAAATCTTGATACAAGTCTATTTTTCTTCTACCAGAACGAGCCTTTTCTGAAGCACAACATGGTGGCAACAGATTTTGTCTAGCAAGGCTATCTCTTATTACTTCCCTTAGCTCATCATAACAATCGCGAGAACGATCAACAGAAAGACTACTCTTTCCAAACTCATCCTTGTTATTATTATACCTGTGATCTGCAACAAGACGTTCGGATTTAGTCTTGCCAACGCCAGTCGCATCAGATTCTCTTTTCCTCAACCCTGTCACATATTCAGAAGCTTCTTGCAATTTCCCCAACATCACTAAAGACTCTTGTAAATCAAAAGCTCCTTTCAACAAGTCTCTTGCAAAATCCTTAGATACCTTATGATCTTCGATATTTTGAAGGTCGATCTTGGATTTTTTAATCGTCTTACCTTCAATAACACCTTTGGGATCATCACAAGTGACAAATGATCTGTACATAACTGATCTCAGACTATCTTGAGGAATATTCTACGACATAAAATTTCAAGCAGAACTAGTCAACATAACGACTTAAAATCCGAAAAAAAATAAACAGAATGAACTTTAAGGATTTGCCAAATGTAACTCACATTAACAAGTATATGCCTTGAAGAATTTTTCAAAGATTGACAAATGGAACTTCTTTTTCAGGTTTGAGTCACTGAAAACAGAACAAAATATAAAGAATTAGTTGCTGTCTATGAAGACAAATATAAACTTCTCAAATATTGAATAGCACTCATCTCCTCTGAAATATTCAAATTAGAACTTTGGGTATATTCATTTCTATACTCTTCCTTAATCTTTAAGAATATTTGATGAATGAGATAAAAAGGGAGACAAGTCAATGGGATAGACACAAATGTGATCGATGTAAACACGTGGATCCAGCAACAACATATGCAGTAAAATCCCATAAAATGGAGTCTGGGGAGTGTAGAGTGTACGCAGACCTTACCCCTACCTCATGGAGATAGAGAGAGGTTGTTTCCGAAAGACCCTGAACTCAAGTGCATAAGCATATGGATCCAAACAACAAATTTACATCTCAAATGAGAAATCTACAAGTCACTAAAAACACTATAAAGCAACTTAAAGACTACATTTTTATCTTGATTTGTTCATGTATAAGCTGATCCTTTGATCAAAGAAATGAATGGAAAAGGACCAAACATTTGTACACAAATACACCCAAATGAAATCTTTGAAAAATAAAAGATCCAAAACTGATAACTTTACACACACATACACATATCTAACACTGTAAAGCAACTTAAAGACTCCATTTTTATCCCAATCTGTTCATGTATAATCTGATTCTTATACAAAACACAAATGAATGAAAAAGAAATACATATCTGTAATCAACTGCACCCAAATGAAAATCTTGGGGGGGAGGGGTCCCAATTGATTAACTTATACCATACATATTTAACACTGTAAAACAGCTAAAAGACTCCATTTTTATCCAAAATGTGTTCATGTATAAGTTTATCCTTTGATTAAATTCCACACATACACACAGAAGCAGCCTAAAGACTCCATTTTTATCTCAATATGGAATGTGTATAAGTTAATCCTTTGATAAAAAAAACTGATTTTTTTTTTACCTCCAGCCTCTCTACAAAATGATAAATGAATGAAAAAGTATCAAAATCAATAATCAAATGCACCCAAATGAAAATCTTGATCAATAAAAGAGACTCAAGTCATAAAATTTACACACACAGACACACACACAAAGCAGCTTAAAGACTCCATTTTTATCACAATGTGTCATGTGTATAACCTGATCCACCATCAAAAAAAGTGATTTTCTTACCTCCAACCTCTCTAGAACTAAAAATGAACAATCTTTATATGTAGTTATAAGCACCCAAATAAAAATCTTGAAAAAAAAAGAAGATCCCAAGTGATAAATTTAGACACATATATAATTAACACTGTTTTTTTCTTGAATTCTCACCTTCATTGGCCTTTACACTTGTGTCAGCAAAAGAGTGAACAAAACCCCAGATCCCACAACTATAATAACTAGTAAAAATCTTGACTTTATTTTTTGTTTTTGTTTTTTTTTTCAGTCTACACTCTCTCTCTCTCTATCCCAATTATTGTTTAAATGATGATGACTATGTTCATGTATATTCAAGAACTTGGACTTTAGGGAATTTTCTATTTTTTTTCAACTTTATTGTGCTAATTTATAATAATATTAAATGTGAATGTTGGGTGGTTGTTGAGTATGATGCTTTGTCCCATGTGAGTTTGAAGTGTACCTAAGACTAATTGGATGTGGCCCAAATAAATAAATAAATGGTTTAATTGAAAAAAAATGGTTTGGGAATATTTTGTTATGAGAGGAATTAAGGTGGTTTTTTTTTAAAAAAAAGCAATAATTTATGCAAAAATAATTACATGTGTACTTTCCTAAAATGATTTTATTACATTGATAAATGGAATAAATCTCACATGGGTAAAGATATGAGAATCGTTAATTATTTAAGGTTTAAGTAATTTAGATTTAAAACTTAATTTTAATGGTATTAGAGTTGAGTCTGACTTGATATGGACTCACAAGATATAGTTATAAAGGTAAATATATGGTTGGAGTCCTGACTTTTTTCAATCGAAATGCATTCGTTTCAGAAATATGTGTATACTGGCCTGAATGAAAAATGTACAGCGATGATCGTGAAGAGCAGGAAGGATGATGAATGGAATGAGTGGCATGTTGGTGAAGGATGAAATTATAAAGCTTAGACAATTTTTTTCTCCATTCGAATATACGTTAATATACAAAGTATTTTGCATTCCCTTAGGAGTTGACCAAAAACCATGCAGTCGAGGAATTGGAGATTTTATCAAGATGGTTCCACAATTATAAAAGTAAACTATTTTAAGCTCATGTTTCAAATCAAGGAGATTCCTTTTGTATTTATCATGCATTTTATCATTTTTAACGTGTAATAAACATGTATAATAAATAAAGATTTTGAGCAAGTTCTGTGATATGAAGTGAACCTCATTGCTTCAACTAGGCTTTGCCACTAAGACCAAATTTTAAGAGGTATAATATACGCAATTTAGTAATTTTAAGACCCAAACTCGTAGATTACTAAGATAATTTTATTGTTTACTTTAATTATTAATGATTATATTATTGCTATTTTATATTATAGTGATTTTATATTTTCTTTTTATCCTTTTATTTTTTAATCAGAGCTTTATTTGTTCCCACTCTTAAAAGTATTTATGGTATGTATATCAAATCATTCAAAAGTAATATATTTTGGAAACAATATAAATACATTAAGCTTTTTAAAAAATTCAAACGATATAGATTAATAGATAATAATTAATCTCAATATAACCCTTCAAATATGTTTATAAACTAGTTTAATTAATTAAAAATTTATAACAATAGGTATTGAAATTTTATTGTAATTAACATAAAAATATACATGACAAGTCAAATATATTTTCGAACAATAAAGCTGATTAGGATACTTGGGAAGCTATTTTTTCTATAGCTCACGCCTATAAAATGAATACATATATTCTTAAAGAGATATCTTTAATATTTCTGTAAAACCTTGAATATTTTGTGTTTAATAAATATTTTTGACGATCAAATATTCATATCCTCTCCTATGTTCGAGGAATACAAAACTAACCACCTCAAATTATTAAAAAGGAAAAAAAAACTTAGAAAAGAAAAATTAAGAGATAAAGATAATTATAACATTATATTCACAATATTTATCAATTAATTTTTTTATTTCATTATATTTTATTTAAAATACTATGATAATCATTATTTTAAAATTTATCAACATCTAGTTGGTTTCACATCTCCAATCTAGTGACACATATTTTATTTGGATTATTAAAAGTTAGTGAAGTCAAATAAAAGATGCGTATATTCAACAAATTTTAGATTAATATAATTAAGAAAACCGACTTTCATTTTAAAAATATAAAACGCGGCGAATATAAGAAATTATATATATATATAAATTTGTCACCTTATTTTTCTCCGATAAATTAGGGGAATTATAAGTCTTTATCTAACTGTGATAAAAAAAATGCATTTATTATTTATAATAATAAAAAGAAAAATAAATCATTCAAATAATATATTTTAGTATTATCTTAGACCAAGAAAGAACAAATATTAAATGAACATCGCTTTCATAATTATAAGATGAATTTATTTTTTCGTTGACGGGAAATGTTGCTATTTTTTGCGTGGATATATTAGGTGAATTTAAATTTAATGTAATAGCTCGTAAATTAGATCGAAGAAGTAAATTGTATCAAGTAAATTCTATGTGATGAGTTTGATTAAAAAAAAAGTAAAAATTTTAGATTCGAAATCTTTCATTCAGAATATTACTTGTTCAACCAATTCAACCACTCTAACGAGTCAAAAGAAAGCAAAAACATATTGTCCTTCAATTAGTTAAAAATGAAATCATCTTTATTTGCATGGTATATGTAATATGTAAGAGACTATGTGGGTGATACTATATATGTATAGTTGAGAGAAGAAGTTGGTGTTGATCCATCGGAACTTATAGTCTAGTAGGAAGAATCGTTAGAAAGTTTCTACATAAAATAAGCATCAGAATCGGCAGTCGTTGTCAATTATATTCTTATACATTATTCATTATTTGATTGATTCTTCTTTGAACGTGGTACATACTATGAGTTTATGCAACTTGAGTCTATTCTTGTTTGGTTTTTAGTTTACTTCGAGAGACTGTGTTGGTGATACTGCAGATGTATAGTTGAGAGAAGAAGTTGGTGTTGATCCATCATAGTATGAATCGTTAGGAAGTTTCTACATAATAAGCATCAGAGTTGACAGTCGTTATCAATTACATATATATGATTCATTTTTAAGAAAATCAAATAAAAAATAAAACAAGCAATTTATAAATAAGTAAAAATTTATTTGTGATCTTTATTAAGTCATTATTATTTTCTATTTGTAAGTGAACATATTCATTTCTTGAAAATGACTCTTACCTAAATGTTGTGCATGGTTTTATTAATATTTGTCTTTGCTATAATGAGGCTTTTATTCCCTATTTATGCACTCAGTAAGTTTTTAAGTACTAAAAAAACTTGTTTAATTTATATATATATATTTATTTTTCATCTGATATTTAATATTTATGCATATTGAAATCTAATTACTCGATTTACACATTGCATGCATGGTTTAATATTTTCAATAAAAAAATTTACATTCAAAATTTTTAATTAAGTACAGAGGTCCACAAGTTCGGAATCGTTCCACCGTAACAAATTTGTAGCTATTAAATTGAAACTATAATTTTCATCATCATTACTACTGTTGATATTCAGAATTGGGTATTTAGTGATTCTTATTGTGAATAAATATTGAGTTGATAAAAATACATACGATCAATAAATTTTATGACATAAAATTAAATTGTATTTAATGTACCAAAGTGTCCTATTATCTATAGCACTTTGCCCCTCTTTTAATTTATTCTTTTATTATTTCTCAAATTGAGTAAAAACTAAACTCTATTTAAGTTAGTTATAAATTATGAGCTAATAACTTAAAATAGGTAGGGTATCTTTTATTTTTAAGTTAGTTATTAATTATGAGCTAATAACTTGAAATAAATAGTGTATTTTTTATTGAGTATTTTTAATTTCAAAATTTTCAAATAAATTTAAGTTTTACGCATCGATCGACTTTTATAGCTAGGAAGGCGGAAAATTGGGGGGGGGGAGAGAGAGTTAGTTGACGATTTAATTTGTATGTTTTCCCTTTCGTTTTGCTATCATTTAAAAATCAACCATTAACAAATCCAAAAATTGAACAAAAAAATGTTCAAATATTTAATTTTTCACCTACCCTTTCCTTTTCCATTCTTAAAACATGCACCCCACTTTCCAAAAATAAAATAAAAATTAATTAACCATTAATTATCATCAAATAACACTAACACCACTATATCCCTTCCTTAATGTTATCACATCAAAAGAACAAAGAAAAAAAAACATTCTCCATTTTCATCATATCATTTTGCCTTCCTTTTTGAGAAATTAAGTGTTTAATTTTTTTTAATTTTTTTTGTTCTTTCTATTTCCATGTGACATTGTTACATAATTGATTTGGCAAAAAAAAAATGGTTAGAGAAATATATAAGATTTCAAAGTCAAGATCTTTCAATATTAGGAAGATTTTTGAAGGAAGACATGGACATACTCATCATCATGTTGTGTTAGAGAATAATGGACATGGCAAAGATATGAAATTTAAGAGTCAATTAGGTGCAAAATCATCTTCAACATTAGAATTACAACAATTAAGTAGCATTTTTAATAAGTCTGTTGATCATGTTACGCGATTCGCCAAGGAAGGAGAAAGATCAAGAAACATCCACAAGGATAAACAAAGTTCAGGTTTGTACCTTTCAGCTCGAATTATGTATACACATGAAAAAAAATTAAAAAAATTCTACGATCACATTCATCCTGAATTCACTATCTCTAGATTCGCCTCTGCATGTTTGAATGACAATAAACTTACTTCATATTTTGTACCATTTGACATGTCATCATTTTTTTTTAATCGAATCTAAGTGAGATCAACTGAACTGATGATCGTGATTATTTTAACTCGAACTATGTATACATATGCAAAAAATTAGAAATTGAAACATACATATACTAAGATTACTCTCGTTTCAAATTTATTATCTCTAGATTCTGGATTCGTCTCTGCAGTTTTGACAATTTTGCACCATTTTACATGATATTCATTTCATATAATGTTTTCCTTTGTCCAAGTTAGATGTAAAGACATGTTTTTTTCTCTGTTTTGGATGTAGAAATGGAGAAGATGAAAGAAAAGTTCGCGAAACTACTTTTAGGAGAGGACATGTCAGGTGGAGGAAAGGGCGTTTCATCGGCTTTAGCTTTATCAAACGCCATTACTAATCTTGCAGGTGAACATATTCACCGGAAAGTGATCAAAACTCATCCAATTTTTTGTTCGTTATGTGAAATGTTAAGATATATGAAGAAAATGATACTAACTTTTTATGTATGTAAAACATATATAGCTTCTGTTTTTGGAGAACAAAGAAAATTGGAGCCAATGT